TTATGACCATCGTTGAATAATTTTAGCGGATTTTAATCCAAATCCTAGAAAAATTACAATTTTCCATCAGCCAGTATAAATTGAAGAATATCCTAGAAAAATCAATATGATTTTAATTACGTAATTTATATGTAATTACGTACATTATTACTTACATATGTATATTGCTGGAAGATCTGCTAACATTTGTAACGTCGATATACCTATTCCTAGTTAAGTGGTACTTCTGCTAAAAACTGATTAAAAGTGATCAAACGGTGTAGAGTCTGGTATACGATTCTTTTGTTCTGCGGACACGAAAAATACATCCAAATTAGAATTACTCGTTGACTATGGATATTAAAAAAAATAATTTTGTGACTTTTCACAAAAAAGATATGTTTACAACAATTAAAAAGAAAAATTATAAAATATGTAAAATTAGAAAATTTCTTATACTCTATGAATTAAATATTCACTTTTTATATTTTACACTCACATAGTTTTATAAGAAAATGTATTTTTTTTAATTCAATTAGTTTTTTATTTTAATTTCAATTACTTGCTTCTTACACTTCTTTAATCTTCAAGTTCTTATTATCAAATGACGCTCTGTGGCGTTTTAGAGAGAAAAATGGCATATTCAACAATGATGTTGTACCTTCAAAAATTAAATGATTCGTATAAATATTGAAAGTTTAATATTGAAAATATATAGAAACAGTAAGCAATACATGTTCGAACTTCAACTTTTTTTAATTTTTTTCTTCAAATAAGAAAAGGTGCAAAACAAACAACAAATGAAAGGAATAGGAAATTCTAAATTCACATTTATACTTACCTTTAATAACATATATTTTGTTTTTATTTAATTTTTATACCCTCCACCACCATCAGTGGTGATAGAGGGTATATATAAGTTTGTCATTCCGTGTGTAACATCTGGGTCCTTATGAAATTCTAAGTCGATTTAGCTATATCCGTCTGTCTGTCTGTCTGGTTAAAACACGCTCACGTTAAAACTAAGCAAATGAAATCAACCAAATTCCCTGCGAATATTCATTGTTTTCCTAAGCAGTTTGGTATTGAAAATCAGCAAAATCGGTTCGTAGCTTAAAAAGTTTTGAGTAAAAATTTCAGACTACCTCGAAAAAAAATTAAGTTTTTTTCCTAATTCTTGAGTAGTTTTCTCAGAAACTACCAAAGATAATTCGACAAATTTTGTCACAGATTATTTTTTTCATCTATAGATTAATTATGTTTAAAATTGTAACAATCGATCCATAATTTCTCATACCCCCCATACAAAGGTACATATTCCCGGAAATTAATTTATCGATAATAACTTCCTCAAATATATCGGTATCAACACAAAATTTTGTACATATTGACATAATATGAACATAAATCATACTACTGACTTAGATCTGTATCGGCCCACAATTGGTCATAGTTCCCATAAAAGGTCCACTTTCGAAAATCACTTAAATGAACATATTTCATTGATAAATAAAGCTATCGGGATAAAATTCTACATGAGTATGTTTTGTGTATACATAAATCACTCTACGGAATTTTTCTCCGGGTCGGTCCATAATCGGTCATAGCTCCCATATAAGGTCCACATCCGAAAATCACTTAAATGCGTTTAATTCATTGATAAATAAAGCTATCAGGGTAAAACTCGATGTGAATTTGTTTTGTATATATGTATATATAAATCATTCTTGAAAATTTTCCACATCGGTTCATAATTGGTTACAGCTTCCATATAAGGAATTTTTTCAGTATCGGTCCATAACTAGCTCCCATATAAGGTTCACATCTGAAAACCACTTAATACAACATAATTATACCTTTCACCACCATAAGTGGTGATAGAGGGTATATATAAGTTTGTCATTCCGTGTGTAACACCAAGAAATATTAATCTGAGACCCAACAAAGTATATATATTCTGGGTCCTTATCAAATTCTGAGTCGATTTAGCCTGTCTGTCTGTCTGTTTAAAACATGCTCACGTTAAAACTAAGCAAAAGAAATAAACCAAATTCACCAAAAATATTCACTGTTGTCCTAGTCAGTTTCGTATTGAAAATCAGCAAAATAGGTTCACAACTTTGAAAGTTATGAGTGAAAATTTCAAACTATCTCGAAAAAATTACAGGTGTTTTCGTAATTCTTAAGTCCTTTTCTCAGAAACTACAAAAGATAATTCTATGAATTTTGTCCCACATTATTTTTTTATCCAGGGATAAATTATGTTGGAAATCAAGATAATCGATTCAAAATTTCCCATAGCCCCCATACAAAGGTATATATTCCCGAAAATTAGTTTATCATTAATAACTCCCACAAATATATCGATATCAACACAAAATTTTGTACATGCAAATATAATATGAACAGAAATCACTTAAACGCATATATTTCTTTGAATAATAAAGCTATCGGGATAAAGTACGACTTGAATATGTTGTGTGAGCATATAAATCATTCTACAAAATTTTTCCGGATCGGTCCATATTTGGTACTAGCTCATATATAAGGTCCACTTTAAAAAATCACTTAAACGCACATATTTCATTATCAAATAAAGATATCTTAATAAAATTCGGCATAAATATGTTTTGTGTACACATGAATCATTCTACAAAATTTTTCCGGATAGGCCCGTAATTGGTCATAGCTCCTATATAAAGTCCACTTCCGAAAATCACTTAAACGCACATATTTCATTAATTGATAAATCTATTGGAGTAAAATTAAACTTGATTTTTTTGTTTGCATATATGTAAATCATTATAAATTGCTTAAATGCACATTATATAATATAAATCATTCTACGGAATTTTTCTCCGGGTCGGTCCATAATCGGTCATAGCTCCCATATAAGGTCCACATCCGAAAATCACTTAAATACGCTTAATTCATTGATAAATAAAGCTATCAGGGTAAAACTCGATGTGAATTTGTTTTGTATATATGTATATATAAATCATTCTTGAAAATTTTCCACATCGGTTCATAATTGGTTACAGCTTCCATATAAGGAATTTTTTAAGTATCGGTCCATAACTAGCTCCCATATAAGGTTCACATCTTTTTTTTTATTTTTTTTATTTTATTACTATCATCTTTACAATTAAAATATTTACATATATATTATATCTACAATATTTGAGTATTTACTAAAAGTATTGCAACAAGAATATAACTTTTTTTTTTAATGTGTATACATATTTACAAGTAATTATTTAACATTTCTGAGGAAAAGATAGAAAAAACCTCCTAATATTTTAAGAAATTTTTTGCTTATTAATCATTACATTCAACTTCATTTAAGAAGTTGAAGAATAAGTTAATAAATTTTCACAAATTTCTTAATATTTCTATATTTGAAGACCTGTTCCGGTCCTCGAATCTGGTAGTTAATTTTTCAAATACTGTATTGAGCATTTCTTGTTCAAAATTTAAATGCAAAAGGGCAGTGGGAAGTTCTTATTTTGGACAACCTGGAGTTTTTTAATATTCGTTTTTGCACATCTGCTGGACCATACCTGACAGCCGTACGTCATAATTGGTCTAATGCATGATTTGTAAATAAGGAGTTTATTTCTTCGATTTAACTGTGACCTTCTATTTAGTAATGGGTAAAGAGCTGCTCCACATTTTAATGCTTTGTCGCACATATGAAGTATATGTTGTTTGAATGTTAAATATTTGTCAAACACTACACCGAGGTATTTGACATTGTCACTTAAAGGAATTACAGACCCTTGTATATTTAGAGAAATGGCCGGTATTCTCTTTGGTGATCTATTATAAGGAAATATAGCGGCTTGTGTTTTATCTTGATTGACTTTTATTTTCCATTTGTTAAAATATTGTTCAGCGTGTGTGAGTGCGTTTTTCATATTTTTAACAATTGCATTGGATACTTTTCCAGACGTTATTAAAGCTGTATCATCAGCGTAAAACGCTGTGCTAAGGTTTTTACGTGCTTTAAAATCCGAAGTGTATATGGCGTAGAGGATAGGTGATAAAATCGACCCTTGAGGCACTCCCGCACGTATAAATCTTTGAGAAGATCGTTCGTTGTTTATGTGAACTTTAAAGTATCTCTCAGACAGAAAACTTTTAATAATTTTTTGTAAATAGATGGTGTATCCAAGTTTACTTAGCTTGAAAATAACACCATTATGCCATATGGAATCAAATGCCTTTTCTATATCAAGAAAGACTATTCCGGTACTTTTACGACGATCTTTGTTGTTGGTAATTATGTTTACAATTCGTTTCACTTGGTGTATTGTCGAGTGGTATTTTCTAAAACCGAATTGCTCCTGGCATAAAATGTCATGTTCAACTGTGTATTCATTTATCCTACTTAGAATAATGTTTTCAAAAATTTTATCTAAACCATTTAGCATACTAATTGGCCGATAGCTTTTAGCGGATTTTGCATCTTTTTCGGGTTTCAGTATGGGGATAACTTTGGCTAATTTAAACTGGTTTGGAAAATATCCGCTAGTGAGACAAAAATTAAATATTCTTGTGAGAAGACCGTAAAATTCATCTGATAATCTTTTTAACATAATGGGTTTAATTCCATCTATCCCGGGTGCTTTAAAGTTTCTTTTTTTGTTTGCATAATACTTTATTTCTTCTATAGAAGTTAAACTGTTTGTCACGTCGTCAGATATGTTCTGCAAATCCAACCATTGATTATATTTCGAAACCATATTATCTGCTGTAGATATTAGATTTAATGTATGTTGGTGTGAGCTTTCAAAAACGTCTGCTATTGCATTAGCAATTTTATTAATATCACACGTTTCAACGCCATCTATTGTTAAGCTTTTTACTGTTGAATTTTTTCCCCGTATTGCTTTATTTAGCTTCCACATTTTTTTGTTTCCAGGTGGCAACCTATGAAGAAATGCGTTCCAATTTTTGTTTCTGTCATTTGACACGTGGAAATTTATTAATATGTTCAGCTGTTTTAAAACAGATGATAAGTACGCTCTTTCTGTGTTGTTGTTGCATCTTTGCAATTTTCGTTTATACCTGTTTCTTTGACCAATAAGATATAAAGTTAATTGTGATAGTTTTTTCTGCCAGACATGAATTTGTTTAACTGGAACTTTTTGGGAAGCTTGTTGAATTATGTAAGTTGTTTTTTCTAAAATTGATTCTATATTAGCTCTATTTATACTTACAGATTGCAAATTATTTCTCCGAATTTCTGTGTCAACCCATTTACTTATGTCATTCCAGTTGGCAAGATGATACATTGGGACTAGTTTTGTTCTTTGAATAATTGAACCATAAATTTGGCAAGTTATTGGAACATGATCGGAATTTAGAAGTCCTGGATGAGTTTCGATTGAAGATATGTTTAAATTCGAGTTTGTAAGTAAGAGGTCTAGAACTGAAGGTTGAGTATTGTGCGTTCTCTGACAAAAACGTGTGTAGTTGTGTGGAGAATGTATATAATAATTAGAAATCAACTGGTGGTTATACAGCCTTCTACCAGCGGTGTTAATTTCATTACAGTTCCAGGTGGTGTGGTGAGCGTTGAAGTCTCCAAATATCAGAAATTCAGAATTTGGGTCTGTAATCAAGTTTAAATCATCTATGAAAGTATTCGAGTAGCGAGGACAGTATGCAGATGTGAATTTGATTGGCCTGTTGTTAATAAAGATTATTATAGAAACGTTTTCAATATTAGTTGTTGATGCCTTTAATATATTATGATGGGGTATTGTGTTTTTTATTGCTATAAGTACACCGCCGCCATAAGTTGCACGGTCTTGTCTGTAAACGTTATAGTTTTGCAATTTAAATTTGTGGTGGTGTTTTAAAAAGGTTTCATTAATAAAAACAACATCTATATTCATTTGGTTTAGTGTGTGTTCTAATTGATAAATAGTTGATGGGTTTGTTATGCCTTGTGCATTCCAATGCATGACATTGAGACAGAAAGTTGTTGTGTGTTTATATGACATGTTTAAGCATATTTCCTAAAACACGCATTTTGTCGTATTTGTTTTTACATTTTTCTAACGCATCAACTGCCTCAAAAAAATTTGAAGAAGTTTTTCGTTGGAGAGATCGTCGTCTTTATTTTGACACATATTATATGTTTTTGAAGCATAAGAAGGTTTCTTGGATACAATTGGTGAGTTGCTGGAACGGGGAAGTTCGTCACTACTTATACCACGGTTTAATGGGGGGAAATCTTCATCCCAAATGTAAGGGTCAGCGTCTGTGGTCTTATTAACTCTGGTAGGAATTTTCCTTGTGATACGTTCACGTATTTCTAGGTAATCACGCCGTGAAGGACAATTTAGATCATCGGCACGATGGCTTATATTTTTAAATTTATTTTTGATGCAATTAAAGCACTTGTAAATTACTGGGCCTTGATTTGTTGTTTTGCTTAATTGACATGTTGATAAATCGTGGGGACCACCGCATCCTAAACATGCACTTTTTCTAAAACAATTTGAAGAGCCGTGGCCGAACATAGCACACTTCGTACATTGTGTTGGGCCCTTTACACTACGTCTAGGGGTTCTCCAGTGTACAACAATCCCATAAAAGTATCTTATTTTTATAACTTCTTTTTTTGAAACTTGATTCTTATTGAATTCTAGCATATATAATGCATCATCTGGGGTGGACCTGTCGGTTTTAACCTCATTTACTTTTGTTGGTTCTATATTAAATGTGTTTTTAAACTCCTCAAATATGGTTTTTATTTCGAGTTGTGGAAGACCAAAAAGCATAAGCTTAAATAATTGTCCATCCTTAACTGGATGGGTAAAAAATTTTATATCCTTTTCTTTAAATATTTTAATTACTTCATTGTAGTCGATCAATGTGTTTGGCATCACTTTTGTACCTATGGACATTCTTTTATATTTGGAAGTAATTCCCAATAGCTTTATAATTTCAGTAAAACTGTGACTGTTGTCGACAATAATTGGAGGAATTTTTACTTTGTCCTCAATAACTTCTTCGTTGTTGTCATTATCGTTGTTATCTATGTCGGAAAACACTTGAAATCTATTGTTGGTCTTTTTGGAAGACTTCGGAACTTTAGATCTGGGACCTGGGTCCGTCACCTTTTTGCGCTTTCGAGCCATATTAATGTAAAAACTTCAATAAATATTGAGTTTTAAGAATTGGTGATACTTGTAAAGAAAACTATAAAAAACACGCCGAATGTTTGAAAATACGTCTGAATGTTGTCAATGTCAACAAACAACTCAAGGTTCACATCTGAAAACCACTTAATACAACATAATTATACCTTATATATTCCCGAAAATTAGTTTATCATTAATAACTCCCACAAATATATCGATATCAACACAAAATTTTGTACATGCAAATATAATATGAACAGAAATCATGCTATCAACGTAGATCTCAGTAGGTCCACAATTGGTCATAGCTTCCATATAAGGTTCACTTTCGAAAATTACCTAAACGCACATATTTTATTGATAAATAAAGCTGTTGAGATAAATTTCGAGTTGAATATGTTTTGTGTACATACAAATCATTCTACCAATTTTTTTACGGATAGGTCCTTATTGGTCGTAGCTCCCATATAAGGCAAATATGTTTTGCCTAAATATAAATAACTCTTCGAAATTTTTTCCGGATAGGCCCATAATTGGTCATAGCTCCCATATAAGGCCCACTTCCGAAAATCACTTAAACGCATATATTTCATTGAATTCTAAAGCTATAGAGATAAAATTCGACTTGAATATTTTTTGTGTACATATAAATCATTCTACCACTTTTTTCCGCATCGGTCCATTATTGGTCTTAGCTTTCATATAAGGCCCACTTTCGAAAATCGCTTAAATGCTCATATTTCATTGTCAAATAAAGTTATCTTGATAAAATTCGCCACAAATATATTTCGTTTCTATATGAATCACTCTACGAAATTTTGTACGACTTGAATATGTTTTGTGTACATATAAATCATCCTACAAAATTCTTTACGGATCCGTCCATTATTGGTCATAGCTCCCATATAAAGCCCACTTCCGAAAATGACTTAAACGCATATATTTCATTGAATTCTAAAGCTATAGAGATAAAATTCGACATTAGTATGTTTTGTGTACATATAAATCATTCTACCACTTTATTCCGGATCGGTCCATTATTGTTCTTAGCTCCCATATAAGGACCACTTCCGAAAATCACTTAAACGCTCATATTTCATCAAATAAAGTTATCTTGATAAAATTCGACACAAATATGTTTTGTCTTTATATGAATCACTCTACGATATTTTTTCCTGATATGCTCCCATATAAGGTCCACTTACGAAAATCACTTAAACGCATATATTTCTTTGAATAATAAAGCTATCGGGATAAAGTACGACTTGAATATGTTGTGTGAGCATATAAATCATTCTACAACATTTTTTCCGGATCGGTCCATATTTGGTACTAGCTCATATATAAGGTCCACTTTAAAAAATCACTTAAACGCACATATTTCATTATCAAATAAAGATATCTTAATAAAATTCGGCATAAATATGTTTTGTGTACACATGAATCATTCTACAAAATTTTTCCGGATAGGCCCGTAATTGGTCATAGCTCCTATATAAAGTCCACTTCCGAAAATCACTTAAACGCACATATTTCATTAATTGATAAATCTATTGGAGTAAAATTAAACTTGATTTTTTGTTTGCATATATGTAAATCATTATAAATTGCTTAAATGCACATTATAATCAAAGTTATCGGGATAAAATTCGACATAGATGTGTATTTTGTGTATATAAATCATTCTACGGAATTTTTTTCCGGATCGGCCCATAAGTTGTATTGGCTCCCAGTAAAGCATTTAATACCACCTTATTCGTTGTTAAATGATTATATATGGATAAAATTCGACATGAGTAAGTTCTGTGTATAGATAAATCATTCTATTAACATGTTTTCGAACTGGCCTATTAATATAATTTTTTCTGGACTTATAAAAATTAGTTCGACATATGCATAAATGTTAGTACTCTCAATACGGAAACAAAAATGTTGCCAAGTTCTCTAAAACTTAGATAGCTAAATGGGTTTTAATAAAAAGTAGCTTGCTGGTGGAGGGTATTTAAGATTCAGCATAGCCGAATATAGCACTCTTACTTGTTATTTTGATTATTAAATTAATTTGAGAACACACACACTGTTTACTCTTTAAAAGAGTAAATTTTAATCAAAATATGTTTACAAATTTGAAAAATAAATTAATTTTTATAGGAATAATTTCAAATGTTTGGTAGAAAAATAAAATAAATTTCATAATTGAGGATCATGTAATTTTATAATATGATATGTTAAATGTTTATATAAATTAAGGTATTATTGTAATAGTCGTATGAGACATTTAGGAAAATATTTTGATTGCCATGAAAATGTACAACCATGTTTTTTCTTTGCGTGTACATAACTAATAAACTTATTTACATAAAATTTGGCGTTTAATAGGTCTAACCTCAGAAGTTAACAATTTAGAGTGCTATATTCGGCTATGCCGAATCTTAAATACCCTCCACCAGCAAGCTACTTTTTATTAGAAACCATTTAACTATCTAATTTTTAGATAACACGACTTCACATAGGAGCTACGACCAATTACGGGCCTCTCCAGAAAGAAAGTGATTCATATGTATGTACGCAAAACATATTTGTGTCGAATTTTATCAAGATAGCTTTATTTAACAATGAATATGTGAGTTTATATGATTTTCGGAAGAGAGCCTTATATGGGAGCTATGACCACTAATAGACCGATCCGGGGAAAATTTGTTAGAATGATTTATACGTATACAAAACATACAAGTTGAATTTTATACCGATAGCTTTATTTATCAATGAAACATATGCGTTTAAATGTTTTTCGGAAGTGGACCCTATATGGGAGCTATGACCAATTATGGTCTTACCCGAAAAAAATTTCGTAGAGTGATTCATATATAGACGAAACATATTTGTGTCGAATTTTATCAAGATACCTTTATTTGACAATTATGGGAGCCTTATATGGGAGCTATGACTAATAATGGACCGATCCGAAAAGAAATTTGTCAGAATGATTTATATGTACATAAAACATATTCAGCTCGAATTTTATCACAAAAGCTTTATTTTTATTTGTCAATGAAATACGTGTATTTAGGTGATTTTTGGAAGTGGACCATACATGGGAGCTATGACCAATTGTAGACCGACTGAGATCTACGTTAGTAGTATGATTTCTATTCATATTATATTTGTATGTACATAATTTTGTGTTGATACCGATATATTTGAGGGAGTTGTTAACGATAAACTTATATCCGGGAATATACACCTTTGTATGGGGGCTATGGGAAATATTGGATCAATTGTTATGAGTTTAAGCATACCTGGCACAAAAAAATATTGTGTGACAAAAATCATCGAAATATATTTGGTAGTTTCTGAGAAAACTACTTAAGAATTTGGAAAAAAACGTTATTTTTTTCGAGGTAGTCTGAAATTTTTAATCATAACTTTTTACGTCGTGAACCAGTTTTACTGATTTT